CCCCGGCCCGCGCCCCTCGGGGTCCCGCCGCCGATCCGCGCGGGATGTGACCCCGTTCCCCCCGCCCGGCCTCCCCTGCCCCCCAGGGGGCCCGCCTTTGCCTGCTTTTGGGGGGGGGTGGGGAGGGGCGCGCGGATCATGGCATTGGAGTTCCCGGGCTTGCAGCCGCCGCCGCCGCCTGGTCCACGCATCCCGAGCGCCCCTTCTTCCCGGAGCAGCAGCGGAGAAGGCGAAGCGGCCGGCGGGGGCGAGGCAGATGGGGCTCAAGGCGCGCAGGGCGGCGGGGGCGGCTGGCGGCGGCGGCGACGGGGGCGGCGGAGGCGGCGGGGCCGCTAACCCGGCCGGAGGGGACGCGGCGGCTGCCGGCGACGAGGAGCGGAAAGTGGGGCTGGCGCCCGGCGATGTGGAGCAAGTCACCTTGGCGCTCGGGGCCGGAGCTGACAAAGATGGGACCCTGCTGCTGGAGGGCGGTGGCCGCGACGAGGGGCTGCGGAGGACCCCGCAGGGCATCGGACTCCTGGCCAAGACCCCCCTGAGCCGCCCCGTCAAGAGGAACAACGCCAAGTACCGGCGCATCCAAACTTTGATCTACGACGCCCTCGAGAGACCGCGGGGCTGGGCGCTGCTCTACCACGCGCTCGTGTGAGTACCCGGCCACTCGGGGCGTCCCTCGGCGGCGGCGCATGTTGGGGTTCGGGTGGGAGCTGGAGCTGAGGACGGCTCTGGGGCTTGAAAGCCCAGGCGCGCCCGTCCGCTGAATTGGAGACCAGTCTGCCCTCCATGTGTGTTTCTCCTCTCTCTCTGTGTGTCTGCGAACCACCCTGTGGGTGTGGGACACCAGGGCTTAAAAGATCCAAGCGTGGGTCCCCAGCTGGGTTGGCGATTGGATTGGCATGTTTGTGTGCGCGGGTGCGCATTTATGGCACCTTCGCCGGATGTTGCTATCGAAGCTTAAAAGAATTGTGTGGTTTTTCCAGTGAATGTGGAGGTTGAACAGGATAAAACGGATCCTCCTATGCGCGCGGTGTTTCTGCTTGGGGTGGGTCCATTCTCTCGGGATCGTTGCTGAGTTTAGATGATACATCGTGGAGTTGGGGATGGGAGTGGTGCACTGCCCAGAGTGGGGTGTGTGTGTGTGTGTGTGCGCGCGTGTGCATGAGCGCGGGCATCGTTTGCTTGCTTGTGCCACTCTTTTTAGGGCTGCATCCTGGTATAGAAAAGAACCTGGTGTTGGGTCTTGGACTGGTCAAAATGCATGTCTTTGGGGTTTTTTTAGGGAAGTTAATGAGAGAAGGGGGGGTGGATTTCTCAGTCTCTGCACCCAGACTGGGTGCCAGGAGGTGGGGGCTGGGGGTTGTTCTGGCTGAAACATCTCCTTGGTTTCGTCCTTATGACCCTTCACCCTCAACTGCTGCCCCTTCTCTGTTTGGCTGGGCAGGGGCAGTGGGAATGTGAGGGGCCTGGGCTGGAGGTTTGCCCCCAGGCACCCATGCCCTAGAAAGAGTCTCCTTGCTAGTCAGGATGTAAATGCGTGGCCAGAGGGAAGATGGAACTCTCTTCTGCACTTGACACTCCTGATAGAAAATTCTCCTGTATTTGGGGAGCGGGAGCGTGGCAGTGGTGGCTCCTGGCCCAGGAGGGGAAATCAGGGCTGTCGGCACACACCTTGGGCTGGCAGGGCACTTCCGCTTGCCCCTTGCCTCCTGTCTGTGGCTTAGTCATCCTGATGGCTGCGTCTTAGGAGGCTGTACCATTACCAGCGTTTTGGTGGGGAATTGGCCATGACCTTGACCCCTCTTGTGCCTTTAGCAGTGGATATTCCCCTCAGTCCTCCTCCAACTGACCCATAACCGATGCGGTCTGAAGGAGTTCAGGGAGCCTTGGAGCTACACTACCTGCCAATCTTCCTGGGTGGGAAAGGCTTTTCCAGATCTGGCCACCAGGTGGGGGCGTCTGCCCAGGACCTCAGACTTGGCAACAGGTTTCTTCAGAGAGGTTACTGAAGCCTGGAGAGGGTGCCTCCCTGGAAACTGAGGAACCAGCAGGAGGGGGTCGGGGGCATCCAGCCGGGAACATGGATTTTGAGTGGTCCAGCCTTCGGCGTCGGAGTCCACAAGTCTTCGCAGGTGTTAGTGGCTGGACAGAAGGCTTAGCAATTGTTGCTCTTCAGTTTGCTTTCTTCAGGTGTTCATAAGGGGTTAAAGATACATTCATCTCTGTCTCTGGCACAATATTTAATTAAATTGAACTGAAGTTACTACTGGAATATGTGATGATAAAAAAAGCCACAACAATTGAGTGCACACAAACATGCACACACTTACGTGTCCTTTTGCACATAAATGGCTTTCGGTACGTATTGGCTGACTTCTGAACCTGGGGTCCCTCGGGAGCTTGTGGGCTCCCTATTTCTAGTCCTCCCGCTTTTCCCAGCCAGCACCCCAGCCCTGCCTTGCCCAGTCTGGGGAAGGGAGCCTGTTATTGACAGAGCCTCAATTTTATCCTCCTCTAGAATTATTCCGTCACCCGGAAGCAGGTTCCACAATGCCAAAACCTGTAGCCTCATTTCCCAGAGACGATCCAGAAAAATTTAAGACTATGGGAGAAGGAAGAGATGAATACCTAGCTAGGCACTTTCATACATGCAAGTCAGTTACTTTCTTTAATTCTCACCACTGTCCTGTGATGTGGGAATTATTATCTACATTTTTATGGATGAGAATATGAAAACTTCAAGGGATAAAACCACTTGTCCAAGGTCACACAGCTGATGTTTCTCGAGCTCACATTTGAATGCGGTGGGTCAGCTCTGTTTCTGAGCCTGGATCCCAGTTCTGACCCCCTGCCGACAATTGCTGGACTCTGGGTATTTCACTGGGCGTCACTGGGTGCCCCTTGCCCCGTTGGTAGCATAGGGCTCTTGGTAATGCCTCTGCCTCCCATTCCTAGCTCACAGTTGGCAAATGGCTGGAATTGGAGTTGGGAATCAAAATGGGCTGGTCAGAGCCCCGGGGAACCACACTGTTAGGGAAATGTGGGCTGGGGTGGGGGGGTGGGATTGTGGATTCTGATTAATTGGGAGTTTTACAGGAAAACCTGTGTTGGATCATATCATACCTAGTGAGTGGCTGCATTGTACATCCTTCCTCTAGCTTAGGAGGAAATCTAGTCAAGTGAACAAAATTGAACCTTTCATTGATGATTCAGGATTTTGCAAGTCACTGAAATTTGTGCTTCAAAGCATCCATTATCCTGTTCTGGGCTGTGGCTAATACCTAAGGGGGCCAAGAAATTGGGCTCACCATGTGCTCACAGTCTAGCGCAGGCTTTTTTTTTTTCCCATGAGCGAGACCTGTAAGATGAGATTTTTCCCCTCTATCCTAAAGGTAGAATACAACAAATGTGGAAATCAAAGCCCCACACCCAGACCTGCTCCCTTTGCCTTAAATGCCCCTCCCCTACTTTCTCGTGGCTACTCACTTTCACTTTGGCCCAGTTCCCGTGTCACCTCCTCTGGGAAGCTTTTCGCTGACACTCCAGGCTGAGCTAGATTGCCCCTCCTCTGCATCATCCCCAGCCATGGGATTTTGCACGTTGCATTGGGTTGATCTGCTTGCTCGTCTCACCTATTGAACTGAGAGCTACTCCAGAGCAAGGGCTGTGTTGTTCTTTAGCGTTCTCAGTCCCCAGCAGGCTGCAGGGCCCGTGATGGTTACTCAGTAAGCGTTCACTGAATGAATGAGGGAAAGAATACTTTCAGCTTAACCAAGACTCTGCTCTGTTTGGCTTTACTATTTATCACAACAACAACAACAGGTAGCGGAAGTCAGCATTATAGGATTTGGATGATAAGAATAGCTCTCAGAAGTCTTGAACTGGACTCTAGGGAGGGGAAAAACGTGGAAGACCATGCTTTAACCTCAGTAAGGCTGATCGCGTCTCTGCTCCTTTGGCCTTATGGCTGAAAAGGGTTCTGATGTTGTGGAAGATGTGCTGGACTTGAAGTTCACAGCTGGACTCTGCCTTAAGTCTCTGTGACTTTGCATGAACCGAGCTGGGGATGACCTGTAAGTTGGGGATGATAACACTGCCCTGTCACAGGGTGATTTTTAGGCTTAAAGAAAATAGTGTATGTGAGTGAAATTAGCCCAACATCCAGCATTCAGTGTTTATTAGTTGATTCCTAATAGGGGTCCCTTAAAGGTCATACACACTTGCCACTGTGGCTGTCCTGAGGCTGTCTGGGGACTCCCCCTTCCTGGCCCGTCAGTGGAGAGATGCTGGCTTGATCTTGACGTTGTTGCTGGATTGGCACTGCACAAGCATCCTGCTGCCCTGACCGCTTTTTGCAGCCAGCTGGGTATGATCAGTCACTCACCTATTGACAGACCAAGGGGAAATGATCACAAGAAATAGCCACTGATCACATTCTGAGGTGGGCTGGCCCCAGGGACACCTGGCAGGTAAGACTGAGGGATGGGTCACAAGGACCCAGCATCTGCTCTGGAATATAAAGGCCTGGCCTGTAAACTTAGCATGTTAACTAAAGGATCTACAGTCCCCAATGTGGAGGAGACACACTGGACTCCCACTCAGACTCCTCAGTAAGGCAGAGTCTTAGCAAGTTTTGGGTGAGAGAAATTTGGTTTCCCAAACTTGGCTTTGCCTCTTATGGCTGGTATGGTCTCGGGCAAGTTGCTGTATCTCTGATCTTCAGTTTCTTCATCTGAAAAGCGTTATCATATAGGCGCTTGTGGAGCTAAGAGCACCTTGCATAGAATAAATGCTCAATAATAGATAGTTACTTCTGTTATTAATGTTATTGAGTCAGTAGATATTTCTTGAGTGCCTTCTTTGTGCAGGCATTCTTCTAGACATTAGGAATATAACAGTAAACAAAACAATCCAATCTCTGCCCTAATAGAGCATATACTCTAATAATAACATCATTAATATTAGCAGAAATCTCAGAGGTTGGTCATCTGGTCAACCTCCCAGCCCAGGCAGGAAGAATTCCTTCAACAGCATCTCAGCCAGTGCTACAACTTATAATTCATTACTGAAGGGACAGTAATTTTCTTTTCTAAACAATGCTGGCTTCAATTTTCTCAGCTGTTCTATTTCTCTGACTCTATTTAGCCCACTCTCCTCCTTTTCTGCCCCTGTGTATCTTATTCTTTCTCATTTCCCACTTGTTATTGGTCTTCTTCACCATCTCGGTCCATCCCTACTTTTTTCCACCCCACTAATCTTCCTCTTTGTGTTTCCTTCCTCAATTTTGGCAGTTTCCTTCTCATTATCAAGAACCAAGGATTTTGAAGAGTTGTCATTCTTTTCCTTTTAAATTTTATTTTATTGGGGTAAGAACGTTTAACATGAGATCTACCCTCTGTCAAATATTTAAGTGTTGACTATAGGTATAGTGTTGTACAGCAGATCTCTCATCTTGCTTAACTGACATTTTATGCCCATTGATTAATAACTCTGTATTTCCCCCTCCATCGGCCCGTGACAACTACCATTCCACTTTTGATTCTATGAATTTGACTGTTTTAGATGCCTCATTTAAGCAGAATCATGCAGTATTTGTCTTTCTGTGACTGGCTTACTTCACTTAGCATAATGTCCTCAAGGTTCATCTA